ATGGAATGACCTTACATTGAATGACACGAATTTATCAACTATGAAAATATCTAAATTACGCGAGACTTTAAGAAGTCAGTATATGTCAACGGGTGTTTTTTCTAAAAAGTTAAAGTTCTCTACGCGATGGGAGGAAGTGATCTTCATGCGGATAAAAGCAAATTTTCCACCGTTAAATTACTATCTCCACCGGCGTAGTTATACAGTTTCATCTAAATGTAATTGCGGAAATAATAGGGAGGATATCCAGCATTACTTTTTGCACTATTCCTTATATAATACTCAACGACAAGATCCTTCACAAAAACTTTCTTTTATGCCTACATTCTCAGTTGACACCTTGTTACTGAATGGCTTAAACTTTGATCATGATACTTTAACATGTTTACTGGATACAGTCCTCTTGTATATTCAACAAACGAACAGATTTGAATAACTGCAGACATAGTAATTTTCAATTTCCAATTTTTATGATACTCATCCTTTTTCTGTCGTCTGGCCTATCTTCTTAGTTTTTTATATTGCTACTCTTTTGTTAATCCTATCCATAATTACCTTTCTGTGAGCACCTACGGACAAAGTCTTTATTATTGTTAGATCCATAATGACCTTTGACCGCTGATCTTTTTTTATCAGAGACAATAAAGATATACAACAATTTACGAAACGCTAGGTTTTGAAAAGACATAAAATCCTTAGTCAATTACTCGGTGCATGCCCCCTACTCACTCAATGAAACTGTTCTACACTTCCCCTGTGAATTAATTACGTTTTTTTCTGTACTTGTACTTTGAAAAAGTCAAAAAATGCAGATATAAACTGCAAAAAGTTCAAGTATAGAAATAGCTTGCACTCCAGGTAAAGAAAATAAGAAGTGTAGTGTATATAACGAGCACTTTCTTGTATGTCTGTTTTAGAATAAGAATAATGAAAACATATCTTATCTTGAATCACGCACGTGTTGTGTCTGCCGTATAGCTTATACAAGGGTAACATGAATTTCGGCCCACGAATATTTTGTCCCGAACTTTCGGCCTGGTCCGAAATTCCGGTGATTTTTCGGCCCGGATCTAAAGTCTGAAAGGAATTTCGGACCAAACCTTAATTTGCCTAATTAATTTTATAAATAATTAGTAAACTTCATCGTGCTCAGCACTATGCACTTTCAGTAAAACGTGGTGCTCGGCAGTATGACGTGCTTAGGAGTACGACATGGTGCTTAGCTGGACAGCCTAGTACTCAGCACTATGCATAGTGAGAAAAAATATTTGACGATTCGGATGTTGATCGAAACACAGGTTAAATATTCTGTTGAGGAAGCTAAGATTTGTCTTTTTTTTCATTATTAGATGATTCATATAACAAAATGTTACTTGATTTTTTTTCATTGTATGTTATTCTTCTATGGTACGCCTGATATTATTATATATAGTATTGCGCTCTTCCTCACTTCTAATAGAATTGAATGAAAACTGCTAAACATCATGTTACACTGCTAAGCACGATACCATCTTGCCGAGCACTATGCCATCTTACTGAGTACCATGTCATACTGTCGAGCATCAAGAAGTTTACTAATTATTCTTAATAAAATTAGGTAAATTAGGTCCGAAAATCAGACTTTCAGACCGGACCGAAAGTCCAGGACAAAAAATTTATGGGCCGAAATTCAGGCCTCCCTTATACAAAAATTTGCACTACATAAACTTTATATACATCGATCTGGAGAATTATCTATGATACGCGGAAAGAACTGAAAATAAATTCTCTTGCGTTCTTGCACTTAGACAAAAAAGTACAGCCTATCCAACCCTGATCAGTGTCTGTTTCTTGGAAAATGTCAAGACCAGTCCAAGATTTACTGTTTATCTCATCAGCAGAAAAAACAAATTTTCTTGACCTCTTCTTATCACTTTCTTGGTCTGGTCTTGAAGCTGATCAGGACAAAAAATAAAAACCGGAAACAGACAACTGTAAGTAAATAAGTCTGTACCCTGTTCTCAAGACCAGATAAAACTGAACATTCTCTAGGGTGGCTGGACATTTAGGTGGTGTTCAAAAAATAATACAAGCTGTAGTACCATGTTCAACTGTTCCAATCATTCTCTTGATCTAGCATTACGTGGTGCGTGTGATGATCAATTGATTAAATCATTTTTTGGTAGTGTGCAAGCTATTATTTAATTTATTAATGCATCACCAAAAAGAAAAACAATGTTACAAAAATGCATTGAAGCAACAACAGATGGTATTAGGCGTAGAAATCTTGTAAAACTGTGTGATACTCGTTGGGTAGAGAAAAAAGTGTCTATTGTTGTGTTTAAACAATTATTTTTAGTGATTAGTATGTTGACGAATCGGCGATTGTACACTTTCTATGAACATTCTTTTCTCTATAACAGGTACATTCTTAGAATATCTAATTGAGAATGGAGACACTGATACAAGTGCAGAGCATATTTAAAAGCAATTATGGATATAGATTTTATTATTCCATTATTTGTTGTTTCACGTGTTTTTTCTATTACAAAGCCTTATTCTGAACAATTCCAATCACCCACAAGTGATTTAGTTCTATGTTATCACAGTATTGAATGTTTAAGTACTTATTTATCTGAACTTATATACGACAAAAATCAGCTTGACGACCTGTATAATGAATTTGAACAATTCACAAAATTACGCGATATTTCAATGGTTTTAGGATGATGAAATAAGTTTTCATCTGTTGCGGATTATTTCAAAAAGATATATGAATCGTTCATTCCAACACAATTAGATGAATTATCATATCGGTTTTCACAGCATCAAAACAATGTTGTACGTATTCTATATCTAATACCATCAAATATTGTTAATCATACATTTAATGCTACAATCAAAAGTATTTTTGAATACAATATTGATGATTTGGTAACTGATGATATTGAAACATTTAAAAGTGAATTTGAACTATGAAAATACATATGGAGTAGAACAAATGAGAATGAACGACCATCAAATATCAATGATACGTTAAAAGCGATAGAGAAAGTCAAAGATTTCTATCCTAATATTTACATACTGATGCATTTATTTGGAATTCTTCCAGTGTCTGTTGCAACAGCTGAAAGATCGTTCTCAACAATGAAATTAATTAAGAACTATCTACGAAATAGAACTGATGATGAACGATTAAGTACCCTAGCTATATTGCATGCACATAGAAATGTAGTCATTAATTTGAATATAGACGAAATCGTCGGTGAATTTGCAAAAGAGAAACGACGAATAAGATTTACAGACGGCTAAAACGATTCAATTATATTTAAAACTAAGACTGTAACAAAAAAATGTATTTATTTAGATTTCAAACCCTATTTTTTCAAGTCTTAACCTAGCAATTAACATTAAATATGTGTACACTACATGAAGTAAATACTTTACTAACCACTACGATAAAAAGTTGAATAAAGCTGCATACTGACTGACATAGTTTTAAAAGAATTTGATTATCGAAAGAAACTTGAAGAAGAGCGTTTCTACGTTTGCGTTGAACTATAGACGCAATAGTAGCAAACATGACATTTCTTTGAATTGCAAAAGCCGAACACTTGAGAGGGAAATGTCGCAAAAGAATGTGTCGCCATTACTAACCCTAGTGAAGTCATTTTACATTTAAAAGGACGATCTCCAAAATCGTCTGTTTCTATTATTCCACCATATCACACATGGAGTCAAATTCAAAGTATAAGAGAAGTATATGATCCGTCATATACACGATGGCCACCTCACATCAATCTTATCTATCCTTTTTATGAAGAATATGATGAAAAATTATTACTGAAATTAAGATTGTTATTAACCCAACAAGAACCATTTGAAATCGATTTAAATGACATTGATTATTTTTTAATTTATTATTTATTATTTTCAAGAGAATAACATTGCCTACGCTAAACTAACCGATAAATCAAAGAAATAAGTTTAAAATATGCATGAACAATTGAAACAATTATATCCACAATGTTGTAAAAAAATGATTACACAAAACAATCGAAAATATACACCGTAATGAGGCGCTATTTTTTCTGTCGGTAAATCTGTCAGGTCTTGTGTGATGCAATATTTACATGCTTTTCACTAGAAAAATAGTTCGTAGTGAAATATTATGATTCTTGTTCTCAATAGTGTTAGTCATCCAGTTGCAAAAAAAACATATCTTCATGTTAATTGCCGACATCGAATGTACAAAAAGCAGTAATTAGTACAATAACAACAAAGAGTAGGGAATTGGCGTTTGTGCTGTTTCATACAGTTTATCGTGCTATTTATCTTTCGTTTGTACGTTAATTTTCTGTTTTACTCAAAAAATTAAAAACATACGTGTGATTCTGATATCTTACCAAATATTGGTGTTTCCTTTCAAAAACTATCAAACACAAGATAAGTATTTAATCTGTATTCAAATTAAAATATAGAAAATTTAATTAAGATTAATGGAGAATATTCTTCTGCCGTAATGCAAAGCAGAAAGCTAGTTCACCTAATCAGCATCTACCGCCATCAATCGCTCTTAGTTGGAGCAAAAGTGGCGCCTCTACTGAAAACTGTTAAACTACATTACTTGTCTAAAGTATATGAATACGAATTTAAATATCATAAAGATTTAACCAAATATAGTTAGTTCACTTAATTTTCAACGTCTTAGAAGTCTTACTGTATTTCTCGATGGCCATTGGTACTTGCTGGTATTTGGAAAATGATTCATTCAGAGTCGCCATTGGTCACATTTTGGTTGTTTGTGAAAGAAGAAAAAAAGAAGATGCGCGCTTCTTTTGATAGTGTTTTGAATGTTGTCATATTTAAGGAAGCTTTTGTGTTAAGGTTTCATTCTTTTGATCACTTAGTCGATCTCATATGAACAATGTGATATTTTTCTCGTTTTACTAATCTCAATCATTAGCCTTAGCATACGTGCCTAAAATTAGCAATGTTATTGTTATTGTGATCAAACCTATATGGCTCTAGTACCTGTTGTGAAAGTTGTTGATTTATATCGTCATGATCAACTCGAAGATGGTTATGGAATTGAATGGATTGGCGGTGGAAATGAGGATGAACATCAACAACAACCAGAAACGATTTCTGTTCGATCTGTACAAACAAATTGTGAACATTTACCAACACAAATTAGACGATCTCTTTCTAAAGTATGTTTAGAGTAATTATGTAAAAGATTTCAGATGACCACAGATAAATCAACCCACAAGAAATGTGCAGTTTTGTCTGACTTCGTCTGTCTGATGTGTGCGTAGTCTGCATGTATCTTTAGCGTGCGATAACCAAGTACGACAACTGAAACCATTTAAAGAAGAGATATATTTTTTATCTCAAGGAGAGATTACAAGTACAGCTGCTCTTCTTTTTTTAGATTTTACCTGGTGATGTTGTGGTGGAGTTGAACGGAGTTAGCACAGTGAATATGGGGATGAGAGAATGTAAGTTGACTTTTAATTCCTTACAGCTTTCAGCATTAAAATTTGTTTTCTTTTCAGTCATCAAGAATTTAAAACTATCGGGAAGTCGAGTTCGAATTCGATTGAAATCAGGTATGATCAAATTTTTTCAATATATGAAAATAGAGAAGTGAATGTCGATTTTTTTATTTAGTTTAGTCATTGTTGTTGTTGTCAGTCAGTATTTAAGCCCTTTGTCGTTGAGAGTCAATGAGAAAAACATTTTTGCAGTTCGATTTTACTGAAATTGAAAATAGGCAAACAAAAGTTTTTTCTGTGTAAAGAAAAGTCGAGCTTTGCTGCGGGAACTTCTATCATAGGCTTGTAGTATAGAAAGTAACGCTTTGAGTACGTTGATGCAATGATATGTTCTTTTTTTGACTACATAAAAATACATGGTAAGGACGAAATTTTTCACACAGTTTTGCGGAGGATATAAAAACGACATCTTCTAATACTAGAAGAGAACCAAAATCAGCTATACAGAACATGCAAAACTTAAAATTGCAAGATACTCGGCTATCTCTGATGTTGTCTGTAACGAAAACAAGTGGTATTTCTAGAAAACAGTTTATAAATCTTTCTTTGGGAAATACGGTATCTTGTAATGTATTTTTATCATCGATTTTTTTAAAAGCCTTTCAATGTGCTCTTGAGCGCATTTATTATTTTTTATATTCTCATTATTTATTTATTTGTTTCTCCTTGTAGTCACAAGTGTAGCATAGTGTCATTTAACTTTGTTTGACATAATTAACAAAATAACTAAAGTAGATGGCATGTTGAATACAAATAGATTTTTTGACTTGTGTGGTTCATGTATTTAACAATGAGATCACCAATTAATAAATAAATAAGAAATTTCGGAAACCAGGTGTCTAGCAGGCATGCATCAATCTCAAACTAGGGCTCGTTGATCGGCACCGAACGGTTCTCTACTGAGCTAAGAATACAAGAGCGAAAAAACGCAAAAGAAACCCTGTAAAACAGAAAAAATTATGGAGATTACACCAAACGAAGGAACAGCCATGATTACGCCGTAGCAGTAGATAGTCATGTAAAGAAAAGTTTGAATTAGAGCAGCAACTTTATATTTGTTTTATTACAGCAAGTTCAAAGTACCTTTAGTTGCCATTATATCTTATTTACTCTCTAATTAAAGCATACTTTACTAATGTGGCCTCTGTAGCAGATTGATTTAGTTTATTTACACGCAAAAATGCTTTATCTCGGTGCACAAATAAAGTAGACAGAAAGTTGCAGCCCTAATTCGAATGTATTTTTATAAGGTTTAGGATACTTTGTCCTAATGGTTCCTCAACAGAGCGCTCGCCGATATTTCCGTTGAGAAAAATGTAAACTATTTCATTCCCAATCTTCGTCCAAACGCGTTCGGTGACCGAACTATCAGATTGGTGCATATCCAGTGCCTAGAAAGCTACTTTTTTCATTAGGAAAGATCTGACATTTAACAACGTAGAATAATTTACATAGAAGGGAACAAAATGACTGATATAAACCTCGAGATAAGAAACAAAATGATATACTGAAGAACGAAAGAAAACTAACTAATTTAAATGAAAAATAGAAAAATTTGTATAAAACTTCTTTGATACCTACAGATGGTATTTGGAATATTTTTTAAGTTGAACATCTGGTATTGTTCAAATCTATACATTTCTATATTTATCCAAATAATAATAAAAAAATATCTTTTAACACTCACCTTTCATCACCATTCGTATCGAGTTTCAACACTGCGATGTGTTTATGTACGTTGAACTTTCTTTGCTCAATACGTTCAACTATTGTTCTTTTTTTTTTTTTTCTTTTTCTCTTGTCATTACAAATTACAGCAATTTTTGATGAGATAACAGTCCAGGTTTTAATTGATTAGAGAATATAACGGGAGAAATTCTTCTCTAAACTGTACTCTCACATTCTTAGTGAAAGACATATATATATATTTCTTTTTTGTTTTGTTTTTTGTTCTTTTTCTTTCGTTTTATACCTCGAACACCAGTTTTGAGATAGAAGAAGTGTGCATGATATTATTTGAAAAACTTCTTCTTTTCTTATTTCCTATGTATGTTATATATGTCCTACAATTAATCTTAAAAGGATACAGAATCGAAAAAGAAGAATTTCTCTGTAAGATAGATTATGGTCAGATTAGAATACATTCTGTGGGCGATAATCAATGTTTGTTTTTGTTTTGTTTTTTTCTTATTGTCAGGTGGTTTATTTATTAATTGTTACTGAAGATGTGAATGAAAACAGCTGTGTGGTATAATCGCGTCATTGAGTCAAAGAAAAAATATAAAACTAAAGATTCTACCATGTATCTACAAGGTAACAAAAATATAACGCGATTGATATCATAGGATGTGGTGTTGTTTTTTCTTTTCATAAAAAAATAGAGATGAAGAGATGTTTTATATAACATGAAAAAAAAAAAATGCTAATGGTATGATATCTAATGAATAGTAGCTAAAGATTTTAATAGATCAGAAATTTGAGAAACAGGCCAACATTTATACACAGGCATTTACCAGAAGGAGAAAAACTTCTATTCATTTCGTCTATGCATGATTCCGTGTATGTGTGTGACTGTACATACTATGATTTAGTTAATAGTGTAGAAGAAGAAGAAAAAAAAAAATTCGAACATAATCTTTCTTCTCTCATGTGTAGATAACTCATTTTAAAGGATCTACCTGATCAATTTTTCGCCATTCAAATGTTTTTTCTTTTTGTTCTTTTTTTTTGTTTTTTTATGAGATATAATAAAAATCCTTTTAAAATAGTATGAACAAGGTCTAGTCTTTATGACATAATCTGTATATAACTATCCTTTCTCCTATAGTCAACACAATTAAATACATTAAGTCGTATACTCTTCTGATATCATACATCTATACGTACATAGTTGTATATATATTTGATGAAATGGGTCTTTTTCATTATTAATTTGTTCGAATGTCTTTGTGAAGGATGACAACAGATGTTTGTTTTATTTTCAACTCTGTCTTTTGTTTGAACTCATGATTTATTCATAGTTCTGAAAATTTAAAGAATATAGTATTGTTTTCTTTTATGTAAGCAGTAGTAGTAGTATTCGTTAAATCTTTTATATATTAATAACCCGTATAAAATCTACCTTTTGATATATTTGCCTATATGTTTGTTCGTCTTTTTTTCTGTTGTTTTTTTCTTAAAAGTAATCATCGTCCCATTCTGTTCTTAGTATATAAAAAAAAAAATTGAGGGTTTTTTTTTTTATTTTTATTTTTTTTACAGTAAATACATTGACTGTCTGAAATTCACACGTATGCGGACCCTTGTCAAATTCGTAGTGAATATAATAGAGCAAGCAATAAATAATTTTATTTGATTGCAAAAGAAATTTCGAAAAAAAATGAATAGAAAAAATAAAAATTAGTAGATTTTTTGTGTCCGTGAAAGAATATTGACAATCAAGCACACTCTGTTAAAACGAATATAGAAAAAAAAAAATGGTTTCTCCATTTCCCAGAAATGAGAGTAGGACTATTGATGTAAATCATTTTTTAAGTAAAAATTTGATCACATTGTGACAGATAGTTTTAAACTGAAAAATATGCCATTTTTATGTATAAAAATAAAATTTCTTACTAAAACATTTCAAAACTTCTTCCCGAGAAGAATTGTAATAGAAGTAAGATATTTTTTAAAAATCATCTTGATATTGGATAGAATTTCTAAAATTTTCAATGATTTCTGATGATAACTCTCGAACTACTTCATAGACAGCCATTTGTTATTTACTTTCAACTTGAATTAAAGTTCTTATTTCATACTCTTTATTGTTTTTGTTTATTTTCTTACCAATAATTTCTGTTAATAATGACTGTTGTCGTTGTTCTTTTCCAAATCAATTGATATGTCTTTGACTTTGTTTTTTTGGACTTGTTTTTGATAATGGAATAAACAATCCTAATTACGTTTAAAAAGTTAGCAAACAATTTATTGTTTTGTATCTGGACGCGTGTGTCTTTTTTTTTTTGCTGTTTATATTATGTTTATTCTGTCTTCTGTACCGATAGTGGATAAACGTCTGCCTCTGAAATATAGACCGAGTAGCAAATAAATCACTTATAAATGTGTAGAAAGTAGAAAAAAAATAGACGGAGATAAAATAGAATATGTAAAAAGTGGCAAAACAAGTACTCTGAGGGATTTTTGTTTTTGAAAAATATCCTAAACGTTTTTAGACTCTGATCTAAGAGTTCTGATAAGAGAAATTCTTTTTTTATGATCTGCCGTAAGCATAACGATTACCGTTTTGTGTATAAAAGTTCTTTCTTCCGCTTTTAAACAATGAAAGATTTGTTGGAATGCAATCGAAACTAAATTGTTTTTTTTTTTTTTTGTTTTAAATGAGATTTATTTAGTTATTAGATTTTTGTTTCGTTGGTGACATTATTGCGGATATTGACTATTATCGTGTGTTATTTTGAGCGAAGAAATCGAAGTATCTAAGATTATCTAGGGAAACAAATAGAATTTTATTTTTGTTTTTTAAATTAAAATCTTTATACCTTCAAAAACAGATCAACAGTATATGGCAGTAGCGTGAATTATATGAAAAATATCAAATTATTAGAGTTTTTTGCAAAAAAGAGAAAAGTATGATTGCTTGAATGAAAAAAGTGATCATATTTTAACGAAGTTAGATTACAATAGTTAAGTTATTTAGATAAATGTCATCAGAAGGATTTTAAATATAGAATGAATGTATCTATCTCTATAGTTCAATATTAATTGATGTTAAATTTATGTTATTTATTCATTTAGACTATAGTGGTTATTCCAGTCCAACTTGTCAATATTATATAAATAATTCACATCCACCATCATGGCATTCTCCATCATCGTTAACTCAATCCGAAGACAATGATGAAACATTGTCTGATAACGATTCTATCCCATTACAATCATTATCTCATTTAACAAATGGTCATTCTTCAAATGATTGTATTCCACAACAAAAGCAACAACATCAACAACATTCAAAATTAGCTTATATACAATCAACAACAACGAAATCATCTGACTTTTTACCATTAACAAATGCTCAACAATATGTGGGTTTAAATGGATCTCGTTCATGTGATTATATAGATTCTGGTGAACTATTTATTGGAAATAGTTCATTATCTAAAAATAATAATCAACATCACAGTTGTGCAGACATAATTACACAGAATAATGAAAAAAATAATCATATTTCAGAGAAATCATTAACAGGTAAATATTATATTTAAAAATTTCAATTATTATTGTGTTAAAAACGTTCGTTTTTCTTTTTCATTTAGATATAATTACTACTCCTTTGGTACCCATGTCTGATATGTGTACATATATTCAATTAGAACAACATAGCGGCTCAAATTCGACAGCTGATTATGATAATATTGAAAATATAACCGGATTAGAGTCACAATTAATTGCAAATGGTCCTAATAATAGTGCAGATGATAAACAACATCAACAGCAACTCCTCTATTCTGGTCTTTCTCCACCATCGATACAACGTTTAGCCCAAGGTCAAATATTTCAAGAATTAGATCAAAAAACCAAACAACAAATTGATGAAAGATTAAAACATTTAGAAGAAGACGAAGATAATCATGAAAATCATTGTAAGTACACAATAATTCTCTGTTTAATGAGCAGTCATCTTTATTCATAAAAAAAACGCGTTGTTTTTTGTTTTTACAAAAACAAAAACAAAAAATTTCAAATTTCCCAATGATCAACTATTATCTACACATATTTGAATTCTGGAAGATTTCTAATTATTGTTTACTCTACTACATGACTATCTATCAAAAATTTTGTTTCAACCAGAATTGGGATATGAATTCAATACAAGTTTACTTGTTCGTTGTTTGAGTTAAAAAAATAACTGACTGATTCTAATTTTATTTATAGAATGACAAGTAGATACGTCTTACGTATGATTATTCTGTGTCACATACTTCTACGTGGTATTACACCACTGGGATATGTAGCATAGTTGCATTCGCTTTACTACTGAAAGAATTGTAACTTTATCACGTCTATTAACTGCAAGAAACAAATTCTATCAATGATTACAAATTCTATTGAACTTGCTTATTTTGCTTCTATTATATCGGATAGTCTAGATATAATGACTGTTATTTTTGTTTTCTATTCTTCTCCATACAGTCTCAACCTTTTTGGAATTTTTTTTACCAAAAGATGCATCGCGAAATACTTTTCAGAATCGTAACTAAACTTTAACTTCAGAGCTTCAATCAAGAAAACTACGCAACTTAGGCAAAAGACGAAAAAAAATGAAAACTTTGTAAATTTGGTATTTTGTTTGACTTGAACTTTTTTTTCTGCTATTATTTCCGTAACAAAGTGTAGCAAAAGTGCGAATTCAGTTTGAGTTTGGTACTTTCGAATGTGATCTTTCTCGTGTTCAGTAAAAAAATTTTTTTTAGAGAAAATGGTGTGCTGGAGAATGAAGTTTCAAAAATCCGTTAGAAATTGATAATCTCTTGTTTCCAACAATGTGCTCCAGCAAGAAACGGAAAACATGATTGAAGTTTTAATTTTGCAGTTAGATAGTTAGATAGAGAAGAGTAATCATTTCTGATAAAAACCAACAACACAAATCCGTTAAAAAAAACCTTTTGTTTTGATGGAGTTATGAGACTTTTACTGGAAGCATCATCATACACAGAATTGAAAAAATGAATGAAAAAATACGTGACAACCGACGGAAAAATGATTATTTCTTCATTGGTTTTGATGTGAAAAAATATGAAGTGTAGCTAAATGATAGAGCGAAGTCAGGAATACAAATTTTCCTTACTTTCAAATCATTCACACAGGAAATTGTTTTTGAGTTTACAAAGTTTCCATTATTTTCGCCTTTCGTCTCATTTACGTCGTTTTCTTGATTGAGGTTCTAGAATTAAAGTTTGGTTCTATTCTGCGACGCATTTTTTTTGTAACAAATTTCAAAAAGGTTGAGACTGTATAGAGAAGAACAGAAAGCAAAACAAAACAGCTATTATATCTGGATCACTCGATACATTACGATTACTCTCTCAAATTGTATTTTGCCAATTTGTATAGATCAAATCAATTTTCAAGTTTGAAATTGTATAAAATTAAAGTACTTTTAAGACGTTCTCATTGATTATTGTTAAAATTTGATCAAATGTTTTTTTTTCGTTTTAGCTCCAATAACATCCGAAGCCGTGAATAAATCTGTTGATTTACCATCTGCATGTCGATTGGCGAAACGTTTGTATTTATTGGACGGTTTTAAATCCACGGATGTTATGAGACATTTATGTAAAAGGTATTTCATGTTAGAATAGAGATATTTTATAAGAGAATGTTTAAAGAATAATTAATCATGAAGAAAATCAATTTAATGGACAGTTTATGAATAGCGTAGAGTAGAGTAGTAGATAGATATACTTAGGACAATATAGAAGAAATAACAGAAAGAAAAATCCTTTTTTTCTTTTTTTTTTGTCTTGTGGTTTTCTTATTTGTGCGTGTCTGTGAATGAGTCATCTACACACATAGAGGGAGAATCAATCAAAAAAAAAAACAACAACAACAGTTTTTAAATAGTATATATCTACATCGATATATATATAGATGTAGGGGGAGAAAGAGAGAGAGAAAGAGATTGTATATAGAGTATACTTATTCGACTGTAGTTAATTTTCATGTTTGAATTTATTCCCTGTTTAGATATATATATATATATGTATATGCAAAAACCCATATATACACTTGAACAACCAACGATTTTCTCCCTTATTCCCCTTAGATAAAAAGAAGAAGAATGACTTGTCTAATGTGCACGTAGTCATCACTCCCCCATAGGAAAATGCATAGTGCTGTGTATGTGATTTTTTTTTTTGTTTTTTCTCTTTGGACTAAACGGATATAGTTATTAAGATTGTGTGCGTGTATGAAGGAAATGAGATGTGTTGCAAAGTTTACTTTCATCCTGTTAAGAAAAAAATGAAGTTTTATCAAGATATTTACTCTAGTATTTTGTGAATTTGTGAAAATACAAGCCCTGTTTTGTTTTGTTTTCTTCAAAAATATCTGTTCATCAGCCTATTTATTACAGTAAAATGGCACACATCTATCTATTTTATTTATTGAGCATAAAAAATGAAATTTTCGAAGTGAATTTGTCGATATAATATTATCTCGCAATATTCGAGTTGTAATTAATCAATTAACAAATCGAAATTTTCATTAACAAAAAAATACCCCGTCTACTAGCATTAACCTAGTCTAAATAAATAATAATCGAAGAACAGTTATATTTTCAATATTTGATCGCCATATGTTAACTGTTAAGACATTGTTGTTTTTTGTATATTGATATTTCACTGTCAGACGAATGACAAAAAACAACAACTATATGTTTTGGTTAACTCTACTAAGGAAGAAATGTTTAATATAGTTATGTTGTCTATTTTAAAACTGGATAATAATAATCTCTAATTTTCAATTTATATATTTCATTTTTACATTATATTTTTCCTTCGAGTTAAATAAATGTCAAATATTGTGACATATATTATATTAAAAAATGAGATTAAAATTTTAATTATATAAATGAATAGTGAGACTCTATTATCAATTTCATTTAAATTTTATCCTTGATGTTTACCTTTTTGCTTTCTGATATTAAAAAGACGAAGAAAAAACAACAACAACAACAACAAAAATAAAAATAGAATTATGAAGGTTAACTATTACAACTATTGTCTGTATTTAGATACATATAGAAATAAAATAAAAATAAGAGAAGAAATAACTAAATATGTGTCTAGTTTCTTATGTTATTCTTCTTATTTCATTAATGCAACTGTAGAGTATAATATGTTCTTTTCTCATTTTCTTTAATATTTTCCACTCTTCATTTCTCTAGATCCATTTACTGGAAGGTTTCTTTTTTTTCTTCTTCTTCTTCTTTTGTTAATTTGATTAGAATTTCTATCTATTTTGAACACAAGTTCTAGGAAAATAAGGAAAAAAAAAACACTTTTGGTATCTTTATACACTATTTCTTCTTCTTCTTCTAATCGTTTGTATCGTGCATATAAATGACATCTGATTATTATTGCGTAACTTAAAACTCGTACACAACGAGCCTCTTTTTAGCAAACAAAAAAAAAAAAAAAAAAAACATAAAAAATAAACTAAAATAAGATTTTACTCTTACTACTCTTATACTCTATACTTGATTAAAAATAAAATAATTGATGATAAGATCAAAAAAATTTTCGTTCTATTTTTATTTTTTTTTCTTCTTCTTCTTCTTCTTCTTCTCCTTTTCTTTTATCCAGAGGCATTTTCTTCTTTTTTCATATCTGTTCAAAAAATTAAATCTGATCATGTTGAAACTTACAACTGTATACATTTGATTAAAAAGTAAAAAAAAACAAAACAGAATACAAACGTAGATGATGTCTTTCTCATATATTCAAAAATATTATTAGGAATATTTTTTCTTTTTTTTTTTTTTTTATTATTATAATATAGTTCCAGATAATATTTCATTCATTTTCTTCGTCTTCTTGTGTGATTTTTTCCATCTGTAATAGAAAAGAAAAATATTTTTATTGGGGAAAAACGAGAAGTTACTTCTTCAATTGCCACTTGTTTTTTTGTATCAAACATGTTTGGGAATGTGTTTGTTGGCTTGTTGTTCTGGTTGCGAAAAGTAAGTAATTGTTCTTGTTTTATTTTGTTTATTTTTAGTTTTTTGATATTGTGCAAAAAAAAACAAAAAAAAATCAATAACATTTGTTTTTTTTTAATATCGAGAAATTAAATAGATTATAATTATTTTATTTTATTTTGAGATCATATAGCAGAAGAGATGATCGAAATAATTATTTGAGAATTTGTTCTACTTTTTATCAAATATCTACATTTCTTTTGTGTTAGAAAAACAAAAAAAAAAAACGAAGACGAAGAAATAAGTTGGTTAACATTTTTTTTTGGTATATTAATGAGTTGTATGAAATGAGAAAAAAATTGACTTTTGTCAATATAGTTAACATATTACAGTTAACATTAGATAGTGAAAAGAATTTTTGACACTCTTTTTTTCTATATAAAGAAAGAATCATTTAATGAGATATTTCAAAATAGATTTCGATCGATCGATCGTTATCTTTCTAGTTTTCGTTCATATTGACACCATGGTTTGGATGGTTCTGTTGTTCGCCACGTATTTTAAAGATAATGTATTCGAATATTGACACTATCAAGTTGTGGAATCATTTTGGACAAATTATGTAGTATCCGGGTGTTATGGATCACCCGTTTGATATTGTACTTTCTATGTTATAAAATGCAATACAGTTTTATCCGATTAATCTTTTGTGGCTTTCGGAAAGTTAGTGCGTGATTGGTGAGTTTGTGGTGAAGTAATAGAGCGAAAAGAACTCTACGTTAGACTATCGTCTTCTGATCAGATATTCAGTTGATGACTAGTAATGATGCAAATTGTCCATGTCGGAAACTTGTTAACTGTAGAGAAGATATCGGACTATTGAGACGGACATTTATAAACATTTTGAAACGTTAACGGTAGTCTTAGGTATTTTTCCTATTCCATTTTTGAGATTGATGTTATAGATCTATTGTTTAATATAATTTAGAACTTTTACAGATCACTGTCTGTTATTTTGTATTTGTATCATTGTATGACAATGTGACACATAATTAGTTTCTTCATTAATAATTAATCGATAGACAGAAAATCTAACTCTAATGCATAAAAACAACTTTTTTAAAATATGACCTGTTTTTCTAATATCGTTTTTCACATGTAAGATATCCAGAGAAATAAGGTCATGACTTTGTGCTGATGTGGGATAAAAAAGTACCGGAACGCTAAAATAGAAAAGTGCCCTTTTTTCCCCTTGAGGATATCGTATGAAGTTTCGTATTTATTATTGATCTGTCTTAAAGAATGGTTTTTTTGGTGATCAAACTTATTATCATTGAAAACTGTAAGTTATAGCCGAAATTCTAGTTAACCATTAGAAGAAAAAAAAATTGTATATAAATTGATCTGTTAGATGTTCCTGTTGTGCATTGCCGCTCGAAGTATCATTCCTACTAGATAAACTTTATATACACAGAAGATTGTCATGGCTACATTTTTATTACGAAGATAAACGCCTCAACTTTCATGAATCGAAAATTATTAACATTTTACGGAGAACAACTGAAACAGTTATATCTCATTAATGACCAAGTGAGAGGGACTTAAACTGTTGAATGATCAGCATTAGAGTAGACCTACATCCATATAAAATTTGAAGTTATTTGTTGTCATGGAGTTATGAAGAGAATGCACACTTTTTCACCACTATATTGTTCTAAGATGTCTTATCTCAGACTCGTCACTGTCTATATCTATATGACTAAATCGCATAACTTGGATAGCGCGGTGTGAACTATTTATTTGTGTAGAGCTATTATTATTTGAAAACGCCAGAAAAAGGAATTGGTAGTGTTACCTTCAGGATGCTGACTACCTATACCTAGAAAAATCTGAGAAGTACCATTAAATAATTTTACATATTGAAATAGCAACAGTAAATAGTAAACTGTCATCATCTATCTCTACTAGTGTACAACTAAATACACACAAAAGAATCATTCATAAGGACTATAAACTGAATACAAAGTTTTCCTCATAGATTGACAGAAAAATCTCTCTCTAATTTGTAAAAAATAATACTAACGGTCAGTCCAGACAAACGAATAGCGTTATTGATTAAGGAGTGGAAATCCACCCCCCCCCTCGTTTGGATAAAGTTATTCAAAAAAATGACAGGTACTCAGAAAAAACTTTAGTCAAAAAATGCGTTTACTCAAAATAAACTTTAGTTACTCAGCAGACTCTCGACCGTCCACCTAAACTTTCATCGAAAACGCTGCAAAGCAACATAGTCCATCGAAAAATGTTTCATGTGCACACATTACCGTGTTTGCTCTTTTTATTTGTGTTACAATATTGTGAAGAAAACATTGTAGAAAAGTAGACGGATAGACGTCTTGTTTCTGTAGTTAAAAGTGTGTTGTTCAAAATCTCTCTTGAGCTCGACTCGATTTACTGCGGTATTCGACTTAGCCGCAAAATAAACACACGAACATTCTACCACAGTGTTTTGATTCCCTTGTAGATCAACAAATTTTTTTATACCGATCATTAATTGAACAATCGTAATAACTATTTGAAATAGGTAGAGTGAAAGATAAATGGCGATAATTCGAATTAGCAGGTTCGCTACAGAAAATTTTATGATTGATGCAAAAACTC